CACAGTTGCCTGCAGTGGTAACATTAACCAGCACCCAGACTTGGCCAAAATATTGAAAATGCTAATGATAATTCTGGAATCATGAAACCCTTATAAAAATGGTCAAATGTTACAGAGCTGCAGTATACAATAGTTACTACATTGTAGTAGTTGTTTATGGTTACAAGAGCTCTTCTCATCTCTAACATGGTAATTAATACCTGTGAAATAAAGAGAGCCTTGCCATTCACTGATTATGACAAAACATCTGATCTGTTGTTTCAAGTAAATGAAAATGAGAAAAACAGCACTACATGTAGGAAGAACAATTAAATGTATCTGAAAGTTTGGGAGGTTATGTATTTTCCATAAACGTTGAAGACTCCCCTCCAGAACTGAAACTGTCTGTGGATACCGGGTTCACAGCTGCTAAGAGCTGCGTCAGACCGCCCAAACACAGGCTGAATTTTGTTATGTGGGATTGCAATCGATGTGCAATGTAGACTGGCTCCTGGCCTGCTTCTGGACTTCAGCCCCTAGTAATTTGTGTTCCCTTCCTGTCAGTCCTAACTCCAGCAGAGGCTTAAAGGATACAGTGATTCAGTACAATGAGACTCCCTAGCACATGACTCCTTAGGCTCTTGTTAAATATCTTTAGGAAAATGTACGAGAAAAGTGTTGAGAGAATACTGCAGAAATCATTTTAAGCTACTTTGCAAAAACATTTTGATCATGAAAGCTTATCTTTTATGTGTAACCTTAGTGAAACTGCTGTTGCTTTGGGACCCAGAGCCAACTGGAACAATGAACATCCCCCAGCTCTAATCTTGAAGGTTGAGCCCTGTTTCTGGCTCTGGCACTTTGATTTCCACGAGAATCCCTGTGTGTCATTAAAATAAACCCCCTTCATTTGATCTCTCTTCAGTTGGTCTCTTGTTCCAAATGAAAACACTTCATTTTTATTTATCACAAGTTTCCTGTTTGCTCTAGTGGCAATTTCCTGCCTATGGTACCTGCAAGTTATTTTTCAGTCTGTTTTTTTCTTTTTTCCACAGGGATTCTCCTCTCAAGCTTACTAGTTTTTATTCATAGGATTTCCATTTTTCTAATTTAAAATCTTATCCTTCACTGGTTACAATGAATTTCTTTAAAGAAAAAGCCAATGCTGTTTGTAACCTACTGTTGTGTTGCCTTTTAAGACCAGTTTTCTCTCTTTTTTTTTTTTTTCTTTTTTGGGACAGAATCTCTGCTGTCCAGACTCGAGTACAGTGGTGAGATCTTGGCTCACTGCAATCTCTGCCACCTGGGTTTAAGCAATTCTCCTGCCTCAGCCTCCGGAGTAGCTGGGATTACAGGCACCTGCTACTGCTCCCAGCTAATTTTTGTAGTTTTAGTAGAGATGAAGTTTCACCATCTTGGCCAAGCTGGTTTTGAACTCCTGACCTTGTGATCCACCCACCTCAGCCTCCCAAAGTGCTGGGATTACAAGCGTGAGCCACCAAACCTGGCCTATTTTCTCTTTAACAGTGAGCCATTTCTTTCACAGTCATTAGTGGGGAACATGGCCAGGTACAACCAGGGTCTGCAGATCCTGCTATACTATACTATATCAGGATCAGGATCTGCAGAGCACTATATTAATTGCTCTGCAGATCCTGATCTTGATATAAAAGCCTGTGTAACCTGAAAAGCTGTTAAAGGTTACTGAATCAGACTATTAATATTTCCCTGATTTTCCATGTTGTCTAGCATTTTTGACCAAAATAAGCCAAGAGAAAAGCAGGTGCTACTACTAATTCACAAAGTAAACATCTGTCAAAATTTGTAGCCATGTACATGATATAGTTTTTTAATGTCATTGTTTGGGATGATCACTAGTCATCTATAAATAAGTAAATTCTTATATACTCTGCCTGAGCCATACTATTAGGTTGGGCTATATATTGCCACTATGTGAGTTGTTTTTCCTATGAAAATAACAATTCCATGTTTCCACATAATCAATTACATATTTCAAGTAGAGTTGCTCATAGGAGAAATAACTCACTCACAAATCAGCGAGTTATTTGACAAACCCTAAAATTGAGGGTGTCTTCAATTTGTTCTATTAGATGTGATATCTGAAACATCTACCTGAGGCTGTCTCTCTCCTGATAGAAAGTCACATCAGCCTTGTGTTAATTTCTTGTAGCTGGTGTAACAAATTACCATGAACTGGGTGGTCTAAACAACAAAAATGTATTTTCTCACAGTTCTGGAGGCCAGACTCAGCAGGGCCATGCTCTTTCCAAAGGCTCTAGGCTCGAATGCTTCCTTGTCTCTTCCAACTTCTGACAGCTGCTGACATAGCTTGGCTATGGCCACATTACTCCAATCTCTGCTGTTGTCTTCACATCACCTCTCTCTTTCTCTTTCTCTCTCTGTCTGTCTCTAGTGTGTGTGTGTGTGTTTGTGTGTCTAAATTTCCTCTGCCTCCCTGTTATAGGGACACTTGTGATTGCCTAGGGCCCATCTGGATAATCCAAAATAATCTCAAGACCCCTTAATCAAATCTGCAAATTAGCCTAAATTAACATTCAAGTTCAAGAGATTAATGTAAGGATATCTTTTTTGAAGTGGCATTTTTTTAGCTTCCCACAGGCTCTTCACTGCCCAGTTTCAAAGGTCGAGTTGGTGTCAGCCTGTCTCTGCAGGCCCTTAGGATCTCACTAAGAAGTTTGTGTATGCCACTTAACCTATATTTTTAAGTCAGCCTGCCCCCAAAACATTTCAAGGTCAGTGAAAATTTTTTCCAGCTATTGTCAAATGCTGTAACAGAAGTGGAAGTATCAATAGGAAAGAGGGACAAGATTAAAACGCCTCTAGTAAAATAGCCTTTATGTTTTTCAAACTCTGGGCATGTGTTTTTTCATGACTAAAATGAGATGTGGAAAAGCTGTGGCCTTCTAACAAGTCTTGTTACCCACCCCTCCTCCCCCCAGTTTAATTTGAAGAAAGAAGCAAGAATTCCAACTCAGAACCCAGAAATTTTGACCTAAATCTCCTTAGTCCAAAATAAAAAGGGACCAGGAATACGCAGAACACTTGTTCCTAAGAGAGCTTGGTAGCTTAGTACCCACGCTTCCCACTATAAGAAGCGAAGCGTTTCTAGTAGCCTTACAGACACACAGGCATGATGGAAAGGATTTTGGGTTTTGGAGTAAGCATGTCTGGTTTCAGGCCCCAGCTTCCCTTGAAACTGAGTGATTTCAGTTGTCATAAAAGCTACCTCCCAAGCAATGCATTTGATATCAACAGCTTTTCTGAGACAGTACTGAGATAGAATTCCCCTCCAGTTCTTAGAACTAAATCAAGAATCTTTGTATTTCTCCTCCATGACTTGAAGTGGCTTCTTTTCTAATAAATTATAACTAGTTCAGTGTCCTGAAATCAGGGTGGATGCAGCTTCTCTAAAATGGATGGAAAAATCAAGTCACATGACAGGGCCTGAAGGGGGAAATGATTTTTGCAACATAACCAAATTTAAATTCTGCCTTGGCTGTTAAAAATCAGAAGGGGAAGAGGTAAAGAAAAAGCAAACGCAAGTGGAAACAGTTTGAGTGGGGGGTTCTTCAGGTTTTCAACTGCTTTCTGCTTTGTAGGCTTTGACTTCATTCTTATTAGGTCTACTCAATAGAAACAAATAAGAACTCTATGAGACACGCTGATATTAGCCAGGAAGCACGATCTGTTGAAAAATAAGGATGAGATAAAACAGGTGCCTTTAGTTACTAAATTCAACGGTAGGCAAAAGGTATTCATCCATTAGTGGCAACCACAGCTGTCGCTGTTGTGGCCTCCCTACAGCCATGTTTTGTTGGACTCAGCCTTGAGATCGTGGTTTGTGACTTCCCACTCTCCACCGAATACACCTGAGCACTCTTCGATAGAACCCTGTGAGCTCCAGAACACACAAGAAAAGGCACTGAACAGAGAACTGTTTCAGAGCAAGCATTAGTTTTTCTTCTGCTACCTACCCAGATGCTGAGACTAGGAACTCGGTGCCTTTTGCTGGGCGACACCATGGACAGCTCTTCAAGCGCCACCTGGTTGGCTCGGCGAGCCGACCGTCTCCCTCCTTGCCCGTCAGGCCCGTGAGGGTGGCAGGGGGTGGTCCTGACGCCCAGCTTGGGCAGCAGCAAAACGCAGCCCCCCAAGCTCTTCCCCGGAGTCCCTCCCTGGCGCTCACGCTCTGAAGAGCCCATGCGAGGGGACCAAGGAGGCCGGATCTTTCCTCTCCCTGCACCCCCGGCGGTGGGATCCGCAGCTGCGTCCTGGAGGCGGCAGCTGGAGGCGAAGATTGCTAGAGGCGGAGGTTGCGGCAGCCCGCTGGTGCTCGGCCCGGCAGGTTGGCCCCCGAGTGGGCGTGGCCTCCCTCCTGACGCCCCGCCCCTTCCCTCTCAAGGGGCGGATCTTCCGTCCCCGCCCGCTGCGCAATGCGGAAGAGATGGGCCTGCTGGAGAGGAAGTGACGCTTCCGGCGGCTGTGGCGGCGGCTGCGGGAGAAGGAGGAGGAGGAGCCGGAGGAAGAGGTGAGCAAGCCGGCGGGGGGCGGGGAGCGGTCGCGGCCAGACCCACCGGCAGCCGGGCGGGCGGGCGGACGTCTCCGAGAGCAGCCTCCGCAGCCGCAGCTTCAGCGGGAGCGGTGAGGGGCGACCTCAAGAGGCCGGGATGCGGGAGGGCGGGCGGGGTTGTAAGGAGACCTCGGGTGTGCCAGGCGCCGCGTCGGGCCGGGAGCTTTGGTGACAGCGGCTGTCAGCCTGCCCGCGGGAACGAACCGAATCCGCCTGGGCGCGGGGGCAGCTCTTCTGGCGCATAAATGGAGGGGTTGGGCTGCTCCGGTCCTCAGTCTCTCTGAGAAAGAGCGGTTTTCCTGGGCGGTCGACTGCCCGGGACCCCTGAGGAGCCCGAGTCGGGTCGGTGCCCCGAGTCGTGACTCTTCCCGGGTGGCCATTCGTATTTTTCAGCCCCACCTGCCGTCCCCCTAGCCGGCGGTAGCCCGGGGCAGGGGAGGCGGCGGTAACCTGTGCGGTTTCCCTTGCCCTTCGTCGCCACCCCCAGGAGAGCCTGTCGCGTAGGATAATCCTTTTCCTCCTCCTGCCCCCTAAGGAGCTTTGAACCGGCCTTGTCACCCTTCCTACCCACCGCCGCTCCTTTCCCCTCGAAGGAACTTGAAGTTTCCGAATCGGTTCCCTTTCAACGTAGTGACAGATCTTGAAGCAGGAAGCTGATAAACAACTCCGAACGAAATACGCTCAAAATTTTTCCTTTCAGTAAGCATAAATTAAACGGGAAACTCATCTTAACCAAACCGTTGATGGACTTACAGTGCTAAAACCGTGTCTTGCCTTGGTGTGAGAATTGGTAGCTTTTCCTCTTGCTTTTTGGTAAAATTAAGTGACGACTTATCTTTTGGAATAAGCCATTTTCTCCCTGAGCTGTCTGTTTTTCCCCACCCCAACCCCCCATCAAAACCTGGCAGGGAGGGACTTCTGGATGCTTTGCAGTGCTTGCTGCAGAAGGAAACATCAGCTTCATTTGCTTTGCTTTGCTTGATTTTCACAGGGCTGCCTCAGAAGAAAGGAGAATGGCGTTCAGTAAAGGATTCCGGATCTATCACAAACTGGACCCCCCACCTTTCAGCCTCATAGTGGAAACTAGGCATAAGGAAGAATGTCTCATGTTCGAGTCTGGGGCTGTTGCGGTGCTCTGTAAGTCATCTGTTAGAACTCAACTTGTCATGGTCTCTGATTTGATTTCAAATAATTCAGATTCAACCATTTTTTAGAAAAGAGCCTGACAGCGCTTTCACTGTATTTCCTCTAGCAGATTATGCTTATATTTCCTTTTAATCAACCTTATTTTCCTGCAAACTTTTTGTTAACAGGTTTTTGTTGAGGGGATGCAGGGAGATGCAGGTTTTGGTTGCAGGATTTTGCTTTCTTGGGTTCTGCTGCTGCTTCTAAAAGTAAATTTTTTTCAAATAAATATTGTTGCAGTTTGTATCATATCACATAAACCCATACAAGATCTTGCTTGACATATTTACTAGTAGGTTAGTTATAGTAGTAGATATGATCTAATATTATCCAGTATTCTTGAGGTATTTATGTTACCGCTGTTATGTTTTCATTAAGGGAATTGTAAACAACCTCTAGGATTTCATGTGAGATACATGATTGATTTCATATTATTTAAAAAAGTATTTTGATAGTCTAATTTAAAGAAAAAGACTACTGTACCACACACAATAAAGGTAGGTTAGTAAGATTTGAGTTATCTTGTGGGCAGATGGATGAAATTAAAATTAATTTGAATACTATGTTTCTTAATGTAAGATTCGCCAGGTGTGGGGGCTCATGCTTGTAGTCCCAGCACTTTGGGAGACCAAGGCGGCCAGATTGCTTAAGCTGGAGATTTCAAGACCAGTCAAGGCAGCATGTACAGCCCCTTCTGTACAAAAAGTAGTCTGGCCTCGTGGTGCACACCTTTAGTCCCGGCTACTCAGGAGGCTAAGGTGGGCGGATTGATTGAGCCTGGAAGGTCGAGACTGCAGTGAGCCTTGATCTCACCACTGCACTCCAGCTTGGGCAACACAGTGAGACCCTGTTTCAAAAATTAAAAAGAAAAAAATATGTATGTGATTTTATATATATTTGTATAATTATATATGTTTTATATATATATGTGTATATATATATGTTTTTTTAATATATATATGTATGACTTAGGCAGATAATCCCAGTTTGGGGCTATTTCAAATGTGATAATATTTTTTAGAGGTTTGCAAGTGTTAATTACTTGTTCTTTATTGTGGTTTTGCTGTGTTAGGATTAGTTTACTGATTATATCTTTATAAATTAAAAACAGTATTTGAAAGGCATACTTACAAATATAAGCCCTTAAATACCTTAAACTAGTAAGCTTTCTCCAGCCTCAGTAAATGAAGCGCATAAGACCACACTCTTTACATATAGAGTATTAATATCAGTTAAAGTGTTAACTAAAATAGTATAATTGCATCTTGATGGAGAAAAAGATAGTGACATAATGAAAAGTTTTAAGCAAAGAACAGTGTATAAGAAATATATATATTTGGTACATATATTTTTTGAATGAAGGCGAAGGGGCTCTAGGTCTTCTAAGAAATAAGTATAAATAATATTGGCTATCCTCAATCAGTATGAACTTAATTGCTTCAAGTTTTTTTTTATATTTAAACCAAACTATACCTTGGTACAGTATTAATTTCCATTGCACATATTTTTATACTACAAGCGTAATTCTTATATTGATGAATTCTTAATTAAAATATCGGGGAGTGGGTGGGGCAAACATTTGCTTTCATATGGGAAGCTTTTTGGTGACATTACCTGACTTATAAATCTTGTATAAATTCTAAATGTTTCTTTAATTGTGTTTACTCATAATAGCAAGTCAGATTTCAGCTACAAACTGTGTATTACCTGTAGTTTTAGGATTATTGCTGCACTTTACTCCAAGGTTAGGAAAGCTAAGAATAACCATATTTCCAAAACCTCCAGCAGCCATCTTTTATGCCAAATAAGGGTTTGTTTTTACCAAAAGGCCCTAAAACGTTCATTTTGGCATTAATATGCATTCTGAGGAGAAAGAATGTAAAAATATTGTTCTAACTATTCTATTTTCTTTAGATTTAGACTGTGGATAATTCAGAAAAAAAAGTATATATGTCAGGGCTGGGCATGATCGCTCACACCTGTAATCCCAGCGCTTTGGGAGGCTGAAGTTGGGGGAATCATGAGATCAGGAGATCGAGACCATCCTAGCTAACATGGTGAAACCTTGTCTTTACTTAAAATACAAAAAAAATTAGCTGGGCATGGTGGCATGCACTTGTAGTCCCAGCTATTCAGGAGGCTGAGGCAGGAGAATCGCTTGAACCTGGAAGGCAGAGGTTGCAGTTTGCTGAGATCACTCCACTGCACTTCAGCCTGGGCAACAGAGTGAGACTCCCATCTCAAAAAAGAAAAAAAAAGAAAAAAGTAGTTGGAATATTGCCTCTTTCCATAAAGCTAATATAAATGGTTGTCTAATCTCTTGGAGTGTCATCATCTTTCCTACTAAACTTTACAGTAATACTTAAAATATTAATATTTAAAAGCTAAGAAACCTTTTTAAGCCATTTGACTTTTAAAATTAATTTGGCCTTCAGTTTGGAGTGATACCAATGTTTCTTCCTCCAAGATTGGAGTGCTGCCTTTCTAATCTGAGCCCATCTCAAAAAGTAAAAATAAAAAGGAAGTATGCACCTTGAGATACAAAGTAAGTTGTGGAGAAATGAAGAGAAGGTAGAGCCAAAGGTGAGCTGGAGTGGGTGGGGCAGAGTCTCATGAAGGAGGAAGACCGGAGTAGGACCTGAGTGGGACTGACAGGCTCAGTGGTATGATCATGGCTCACTGTAATTGAACTCCTTGAAACTCCCAGGCTCTGTTGATCCTCCTGCCTCAGCCTCCCAAGTAGCTAGGACTACAGGCACACACCACTATGCCCAAATAATTTTTTTGGTGTTTTTTGTAAATACAGCTAGTGCTCGACTTACCACCATGGTCGGGACCGCGGACCGGTCGTAACACGATTTGGTCGTAAGTTGAGTAGGCTATATGTACAGTTGAAATGGTGCACGCGGAGATGGTAGTGCTGCCGGAAGCTGGTCCGCACTGTCATACATCCAGCTGGGCAACGTTTGCGCTGCCAGACACGGAGCAGTCGTGGCTAGCGGTTGTGGTCATAAAGTCGAAAGGTCGTAAGTTGCATAGGTTGTAAGTCGATCAATACCTGGTACGGGGTTTCCCCATGTTGCCCTACTGATCTAAGACTCCTGGGTTCAAGGTATCCACCTGCCTCAGCCTCCCAAAGTGTTGGGATTACAGGCATGAGCCATTGCTCACAGCCAAGATGCATACTTCTTAGGTGCTGACTTTATTGTCTAAATGCTCATATGTAGGTGTTTTTCTTGAAAATAGGTGGTGAAAGTGACCCTAGCAGGATTTGGTATTTATGTACCAAAAGTTCCTAATTTCAGGTCTCTAGTTACCCTGGCTTTACTTTAAAGAGTAAAGTTTAAGCAATTTAAACATTTTAGTCAGCATACAGTGTTGAGGATTAGCAGTCACTTAATTTTCTTGGCTTATGCCAAAGTGCCATGAGATACCAAACATGAAATTTTATCTTTCATGTTATTAGCACATACCAAAAGGTTGCAAGTGAAAACAGCCTCAGACCGTGGATCCCCTTAGGGACCCGAGTGTTCACTAATGCAGCCTCAAGACTCTGTCTTTATGTCGATAGGATTCTAAGCTGAAATCAGTCATGGTGCCGACATCATGAGTGTTATAGTCACCTGGGCAGCTTTTACAAATAAATACTGATGTCTGAGCTCCAGTCCTCTGGATATTCTGATATAATTAGATTGTGATGCTTATTACTGAGCAAAGTTTATATAGGCCTTTCTATCTTTCTATGATAGATTAGGGGATTGCTGTTTTTTTTTTTTTTTTTTTTTGGCTTGCAGATTTTATCCAAAATAACCATGTTTTCAGAATTTTAATGATGTTGTCTTTTATGGGGCTACTAAGTAGTTTTCTTTGAAACCCTCAGGCTGAACCAAGTGCTAATACTCATGTGGCACTTTGAGTATAGTCCGTTCATATCATATGGAATTGTGCTTAGGTTTCTGTGTCTGGATGCCAGTAACTATTAACCACACTGTTAAGATTCTTCTGAAATGCCAATTTGAAATGTATATGATAAATGTTATTTATTACTTCTATAAGTACTATTAATTTGCTTCAAAATTACTTTTTTAAAATAGATAATACTTTTATTATTGATTTATTCTGTTGCATTTATTTATTTAAAACACCTTCCAAAATGTTCTTACCCTTAGATAACAGTTAATATGTTTTTTAGTAGCGTATCCATTTTTAGCATTACTCAGTTTTGAAAATTACTTGTACAGCAAATGTTTGATTAAATTGCAATTTGATGTCTCTGGAGCAGTGGTTCAGTGTAGCAAGTGAGCTCTGTGAGCAGTTTGCTGCATCTGTACCAGTTTAAGCGGCCACTGTGATGGTTAGCAAGGTATAAACAGTACATACTTTTTTCCTGGAAACAATTTATTAAGAGATAAAAGATATCTCTCAGCTTTGTGTACAATTCATTGTTCTTGGTCTTTCTACAGTTTATACACACGTACACAAAAACTCGCAGGGGAAGGACGGGGCATCAGTCTGACATATATGCATTCAGTTCATGCTATCATTATTTTACAGCCCATCTCAGACTTCAGTAAAGTGAATGATTCATTTTCTAGTTATATCCTAAATAGAAGATGGAGTAAAGAGAAGGTCAGCATATGGGAAATGGAGGATAATTCTGAAAACAAGTTACGAACCTCTATGTAAAACATGGGGATGTAAGGTGGTGCTGTAGATTCCTAACTCTTAAAATTAAAGCTTTTGCTCTTTTCCATATTACATGCTAGCATGGGAGTAAGGATGAATTGTTTTTATCTATCTAGTAGTAAGATTATTTTCAGGCTTTTCAAGCAGCGTAATTTGAGTCAGATTAGGATTCAAATCATGCCTTTTATAAATAGCAAGGCCATGTCACTAGACCTGGTTTTCCTCCAGGTTGTCCATATGAGATTTTTTGTCTACCTAATTTTTTC